CCTGAATATGAATACCTTGTCATGCAGTCATTGACATCAATAAAGCAGTATAGGAGAACATTTAGGGCAATCCATTACATTCCCAAATACAAGATGAATTGCTTAATTTTAGGTTTTGCATTAACTGATAGTAACCATTAGCAGTCTGCAATACCATTTTAGCATGTGCATTTGGAACAAATGCAAAGTAAGTAAATAAAAAGTATGGACTTTTTATGTATTTACACTGCATTTGTTCCAAATTAATTCAAGTATAACCTTTATGTCAGGAGTACATGTACTTACTCTGTATTTGTTCCAAATTAATTCACGTAGCACCTTTATGTCATGTCCTGGGCTGGGTGGAAACTGAGGGGGATAGAGAGGGGAAAGGGGAAAAGACAACCGAAAACTCAGCCAAAAAGGTATGTTTTAAGACTTGGAAAGGAACAAGGGGAGGGAGGGAGCGAGTTGTAGAGACTTCTTGAATGGAGATCCAGAGCAGGGAAGAAAGGCTGAAATTATCACCGATAATTATTAGTACATTGTCCAAAAATCCAGCCCTCATCGATGTTTCAATCTATTTCTGGATGTGAGTAATGTCTTCTCCCCATGACTTAAACACTATATTTGAGCCCAAAGCCAGTCTGGCTATCATTGAACCTGCTGCCCCAAAGGCCACTAAGCACTGAGACATTTGGAAAGTCTGTCTGCACTAGAATCAACAACAATTTGTGCTTATAGAACATCTTTAACTTAGAACATCTCAAAGCACTTTATAGGAACAGAATTGGAAGGTGGGAGATGGGGGCTGGGCCGGCTGGAGGTGGTTGAAGGCACAGACATGCAGATTTTTTTTTTAGATGGATTTTGAAACTGGAGATGAAGGCAGCAAGGCTGAGGGATTTAGGGAGAGATTTCCAGAAAGACAAGAACAAAGAAGCTGAAACCTCACTCAACATTTGTGAGGTAGAAGAATGAAGTAGGCCTGAGTTAGCAGAGTGGAGGGAATGGGCAGGATTGAGAAGATTGCAGGTAGTATGGGGCAAATGACGTGGAATTATTTGAAGGTAATAGCGAGCATCTTAAAGTCTGAGAAATAGAAAGCTGGTGGAGGCTGTCGAGGATGTGGCGTGTGGACATGAGTTGCAGTAATCATTCCCTATTTTGAATTTGCATCAAAGGGAATTCTAACAGAAGCCCATTATTTAGGAATCCTGTTAAGAAGTACTGCAAATTAGACCCTTAAGTCCTTCATGTGGAATGCAATTAACTGTTTTTGACAGATTTTGCTGAGCATTGATTTCTGTGGAACAGGGATTGAAACTATTGTAGATGGGCTTCCCCAATGGCTCAGTGGCTAAATGTGAAAAAAAATGCAATGATCAATATAACACTAAGGCCTTGAGACCAGAAAGTGTTTTGTCTAAAGTAATACCCAATAACTCTTTTTTGGGAGGGGGGGTCAGCTCAGTGACCATCACTGGGCTTACGAGTATCCAAATCAGACTGGACACACCTGCACATTCTCTCCCAGAAGGACACATCCTGCTTGCCTAATTCCATAGAGTATTAGGGGTCTTTTTCGACCATCAGCTGTTCTTTCTACCCCACATCCATGCCGTGACCCACTCTGCCTTTCCCCACCTCCACAACATTGCCCGATTCCGTCGCTGGCTCACCTCTCAGGCCGTTGAAACCCTTATACATCCCTTTATTACAACCAGGCTCGACTATGCCAATGTCTTGCTTGTCAGCCTTCCCAACTTTTCCTTCCACAAGCTGCAGATCATCCAGAACTCTGCAGCTTGTATCCTCTCCTGCACCAGGCTCCGTGACCCCGGCCTCACTGGCTCCCCATCCCTTAGAGAATTGTGTTCAAAATTCTTGTCCTCACCTTCAAGGCCCTCGATGGCCTTCCCCCTCCTACCTTTCTAACCTGCTAACCGCTTATCAACCTGTCCTCTCCCTCTGCTCAGCAGGCTCTAGCCTGCTCCATTTCCCCCGCCCGGCCCACCCCCCCATCAGCTTTTGGGCCTTCAGCCTCTTTGCCCTGACCCTCTGGAACTCCATCCCAGATTCCCTCCCAAGGTGAAAGGTGCTATACAAATGTAACTTTGTCTTGTATTAGGTGCAGGTTGGCAAGAGTTGGCAAGAGTACCCCAGAATACACGTTGGGGTAGTGCTAGAATTTAACCAGCCAAACTAGCTTACTATTGAAAACACTGTCTGGCAAACTTTCCTGCTGCATCTTGTTAGGTTTATCATATCTGTTTGGCCTTTGGCCCTTGTTGAAAAAAACCCTGTATACGATGCTGTTTTTTCCAGTGAATTCTCCCCTTTTGTTTACAATGTGTGTATATGGAGAATATTGCACAACAGATAAAGTTCTTTACTATCCAAAGAGTCTTACACTCTGAAACAATTAGCTGTACAATTGTGTAATTCTGGTGTTGAACTCTATATGCAGTATTGTGTTTCTTATTGCTTTTAAGATTTTTAGCAGAAGTTTTTTATTGAATACCATTCACATTGATGTAATGTGATCAAGTGTGCCGAGGGAATGCAAAGTGGAAAGAAAATGTAATAATCAAAGGATCAAGTGATTTGTGAAGTTATATCTGTTCGCTCAAGAGACGTTTGAAAAGGTTTGGGAACAGTATTCCATCAATGTGCCCTTCTGTCTCTTGCTGTTCTGTATTCTACTGTGCAAAACATTGCCACTGGAATCTGGATTTGTTTTACTTTCCTGGGTAGATGGAAACTGACAGAGCTGGCTTCTGACTATAATGGTGAGCAAGGAAAATGTGTGAACCGGGAATATGATGTGATTCACTGAGCATTTCTGCCAGTGGTACCATTAATAGGATTGGATGCTTTGTCAAGAGAAATCCAGATGTACAAGTGTTGATGTGCAGTCAATGGGCACCATCACAAATTTAAAAAGTAATGTTATATTAGAACTGATTTGCACTAACAAACATTGTTTTAAAGGACTTAAACTACCATGAAGATGAATCATCACAATGTTAGAAACTGGTTGCTTGTTATTTTATTGTGACAAAAACGATTGTTATGTTTTCTTTTCATTCTTTTTCTTCAAAGAAATAAGCCTGTAATAATGCAAAGTATTTTCTCGGTTCTATTGTTCTGAACCTGTCTTTCATTATTAGTTGCCAACACTGAAGCTTTTTGGACCGTGATTTTTTGTTCATTGGAGGGAATCCTGCGCCAGAAATAATAGTTCACATTAGAAACCGATGGGTTGAAATTTTGTACCAATAGACAATGGAACAATTAACTTGAGGACTGTCAATTTGAATGAAGTTTGGATTTAAGCTGTGTGAAAACACAATTAAATTCATTTGTGAATAGAAATTGTACTCCATATGTCAATCATGTGTAAATACAGTGTAAAACACATATTTTGCACAAGAGAGGGAATCACTGGTACCCTTAATTATGTAACTTTATTGGATGTTAATTAAATAATTATTTTTATTTTTTATTATTTTTATTAAGACAATGGATTATCAGTTTGCAGGGCTATGGGGAGAGAGCAGGGGAGTGGGATTGAATTGGATAGCTCTTTTCAAAGATCCAGGACACACGTGGGGCCGAATGGCCTCCTTCTGTGCTATATTATTCTATGATTCGAAGAGCAGTACAGACAGAGGCTGGTTTGATTTTTTTTCTCAACTCAATTTTTATGAGTCTGAAAAACTGGATTTGAACTCGAAAGAAGAAAAAATTATCCATAAAAGATTGGAAGTTCTGTTAAAGATGATAGGAAGGAATTGCAGTTCCTGTAGACAGCCACTCAATGGTATGAAAGGTGTATTATTCCTAAGGCTTCTTTGCTAGTTGAAAATGACTGAATAAAAATATTCAAGAAGGTTTGAGGTCTCATGATGTTCTTTTGGTTAGTTTCAGGAAACAGAGCTGCTCAGGTTCCGCAGAAAGCTGTCTTCCAGATAAAGAATGCCCTTGTGTCCAAAACACAGGTAAATCGTCAAGATGGGTCTATAATGCAATATTCAAAATAATGATGTGCAAGTAGAGACTTATGATTGCAAAGTATTTGAATGAAATATCCCTGGCAACGCAGTGGGCTGATTACCAGACTTGAGGCAACAATGATTTGGGTATGAATCCAGATAGATCCACTCATCTTATCAAATAAATTTAAAAAAACTTAGGTTTATAATACTTATTTATAATGTAATACATCAGCGTATTTTATAATCTCATTGACTTTTTACAGGATGATAGTACTACACTTTTTTTTAATGAGTGATGAGTGAAACAACAGTGGAGAAACATTTGTCAGCTGTGATATTAATCCAATATAATTTATACTTATATATAGCACCTTTCATGTCGGGAGGATGTCCCAAAGCGCTTGATAATTCTGTCTGGGCACCGGAGCTGAGGCTGGGAGCTGAGGAAGCGGAAAGATGACTGAGGTGCAATCAAAGAGACATGTTTTGAGAAGTACCTTGAAAGAGGGGAGGTAGAGAGCAAATCAGAGGGTCCCAGGGAATGAGTTATAGAGATTGGTGCCAAGTGGCTGAAAGCCTGCTGGCTGTTTTGGGGATATGGGGTGGATAGAGCGGGGGATGTGGAGTAGGCCAGTGTCAGCTGAGTGAAGGGAATGGCTGGGTTGGTAAGCATAAAGGAGGTTGCAGCAACAGGATTTGAGTCACCATGGAGGGATTTCATTGCAAAAAAGCATTTGACTCTGAGTACAAGCGACACTGAGGCGAATGTTATTTAAAACATTTTTTTTTTGACATTCCTCATCCACTTTGCCACCTTTCATATGATATATGTTCTAATTAAAATTAAAGTTAAGCCTTGGGATGGCCTTCCGACGTGAAAGGTGTAATATAAATGTAATTTTGTTGTTGTTAAGGAAGAAATTTCACAGAGTTTGTGCAGTTGGACTTTTCTGTTGCATACTTATTATTGTACAAAAGAGCCAATTGCAAACTTTAAAAAAAAATCATCTTTTTAGGAGAATGATTCTTATCCATGGTTGGCTAGCAATTCTACCCAATACACTGCAGACAGTATGGTGCCCGGTGGTAAGGAGGCCTCAAAAACAAACACCTCATTTTGGGTAAGACACGGCACAAAGGATTGTACTTCGCTTTGTTGGGATGAATCTGGTTCTGTGCAGAACGATCAGCATCTAGAGCAGCAGTCCAACATGGCTGTTCCACACCCGCTTTCCGTAGCCCAACCTAAAAAATTATTAACATCAGACGAACGTTTGAATTCACTCCAGGACAAGAATGCTAAGTGTCTCAAAAGAAAGCTGGGAGTGCGGGGACAACACGGAGCAAGGCCGAGCAAGGCAGCCTCCCTGAAACTCCCCGCAGATGATAGTACATGCAAGAACGATGGTTGTCAGGATGACTCTGGCGCAGAAAGAATGGATTCCGGAAAGTTAAGAGCAAGGGCGCAGATCTGTGATGTCTGTACTCTAGACACTAAACAAAGGTCTAAAGTGCTGGAGGAGGTAGAGCGTGCATCTTTTATAATTCTAACTATGGTATATCAAGATGGATCGTCTCAACTTACTGCAGTAAAGGTGGGTGCAAATGTTGAGTTGTAGTTTTGCATAGATTTCTTAAAAGCATATATTTACATATTGAAATAAGGGGGAGGGGTGCTTGAATACCATTTCTATTAAGAGTAGAATTTGTTTTGAACATTTGGTAGAAAAATCTAACAGAAGGTGTTCACAATTATCAGGGGTTTGATAGAGTAAATAAGGAGAAACTGTTTCTACTGGCAGGTGGGTTGGTAAACAGAGGACACAGAATTAAGATAATTGGCAAAAGAACCAGAGGAGAGATGAGGAGAAATGTTTTTATGCAGCAAGTTATTACGATCTGGAATGCACTGCCTGAAAGGGTGATGGAAGCAGATTCAACAATAACTTTCAAAAGGGACCTGAATTTGAAAATGAAAAATGTGCAAGGCTATGGGGAAAGAGTGGGGAAGTGGGACTAATTTGATAGCTCTTTCAAAGAGGCACAGGCGCGAAGTGCCGAATGGCCTCCCTCTGTGCTGCAAGATTCGCTGAACTTGCATGGCTAGTTATTTTGTATTCTGTTTTGTACATGTAAATTCTGCATCCCAGGCCTTTGCTGTCCTAAATATTCGTCAGTTTCCAACCACAAGACTAATTTGCTTGTAAGAACAACCAAATTATGAAAGCTAATATAGATTTTTCCCCTTCCCCCAATCTAATGAAGGTTACCTAATATATTTAGGTAGAATTACTCACCTAGTTTGTGTGACCAATGACCAGAAAAAAAAAAATTTGGTCAGTCAATCCACTACTGTTTGTGGGACGCTGCTATGCGCAATTGGCTACTGCGTTTCACCCACAAAATATACAGTCAATTCAGTTTACAGTATATTCAGTGAAGCGCTTTGAGATGTCTTGAAAATGTGTTACGGTGCTATATCAAATGCGAGGATTATGATTCTATTCTAAGGTAATAAATATACCCTTAAGTTTATAACTTTATTATGATGCGTCTTCCACAGGAATCCATCTCTTCAGTGGTTAGTAGTATCCTTGCGCTGCTAATGAATCAGTCAGGTGGCTCATCCTCTCTCACATATTCTGAAGGCACAGCTTCAGATGATGCCCTCCTTGAACCACACCAAGGTGGCAAGTACTTTCACCTAAAACTGGAACAAAGTCCAACCTGGTTGAAACAAGATCCCAATGACAGGGAGTTTGTCAGGTGAGAGCTGGAATGCATTTATGGTGCAAACAATTCATGTTTGTGTTCTCAACTATGAAATAGTTTATATTTAGGTTTTATCTGGAGCTTTAGAATTAAAATGATCTTGGAAGTAATTTGCCTTTATCCAAGTGACATTTCCTTTATCCAATTGACATGAAACGTCCAACCTGCTACAGCAAGTTTAAAATTAGTTGCTGTTTCTGGGTAAAAGTCAAATGAATCCCTTTTTGCACCAAAGTCGGCACGTTTTATAAAAAGGATATAATTTAAACTTTTCTTACTATCTTGAAGATTGGAAGGTGTTTAAAAGGTTGCATATTAACTTTATGTATTTATTTTTATATAGTTTTACTTTGGATTGTTTTCACTTTGCCAGAATGTACCATAGGCCTATTTTGAGAGCTGTTAATACTGAATCCAGATTCAGCAACTTATTTTAATTCCCAATCGCAGTATTTCATTTTCTTTTAAAATTTAAGGCAGCGCAGAATTTGGAAAATTCTCATGTTCAGTCTTAATTTGGAAACCAGATCTTTTTAAGAAGTACTGAAACTCAACAGAATTTTCCACTATTCTGTGCAATCTTGTACTTCAAAACAAAATGTTGTGATAGGCTAAGACTAGGTGGATTCCTTTGGATGATGTTCTGTTATGTTAGGTTATATTCATGGTCTGATCAAACATTCCCTTTGCCTATTTTAGTCTTGGAAATAGGTTTTAAGGTGTGATTCAGTGACTGCCCCAAAGGGATCAAAGGGAAGCAAAGGGATCAAAGTTGTATGTATGTGTGTGTGTTGATGGGGTGGTATAGCTGTTGCTGACTGGAGCATTGCAAAGAACAGTCCTCTGATGTAATGTTTATGATCAGTTATGTTTGTGGAAATTGAATATTGAATTTTTCACTCATTTGTTATTTTGATTTCTAGAGAAAGACTGTACAATTATCCTGCGGTGCACATTATAAAATCCCTGTAATGTTTCAATAAATGATGCTGAAGAATGAGCTTTCTTATACATTTTGCCCCGTTTTAAGCAATTTATTTTCTAAAAATTGTCCAGATATTGGTCTTTTGAAGGCATTACTTGCACTGAATCACACTTGAAACATGGAGATGGTTGTTGCATTGTCTTAAGAAAAGAGCTCTATTTGTGTTCAACTGTAGATTGAGCTATACTTAAGGCTTAGCAACTGAATATGTGGAATATTTCTCTCGCTCACTGAACTATCTCTTCCATATGAGGTGTTTCATAACATTCTTTTCTGTAGAGGTGTCAGATGCTTCTTGTGCATCAGTTGTTTTGAAATTTGTGGATTTGCATAGTTACTGGTGGTCGGAAACTCTCCCCTCCCCACCCCATGGGTTTGATTTGAAGGCTTGGAAGCAATTTTATATTTTATCGCTGCTTCATAAGGTACCAATATAATTCGGTCAGTGACCTTTTATATAGTATGTTCAAATGCTGTTCTCCGCAATTACGATAGCTCTCAACACCCAGTTCAGGGGGAGGGGAGAACTCCAGGAGGGGGAGGGAATATTCTGAATGGGAATAAAAAATGTCAGCTTTTCATAATATGTTTAACATGATAATTACTATGTAATATCGCACATTTCACCCGAATAGCTTGCATGGCAGAATTATTCTTTCTTTGCAATAGCTTCCAAACCAAATGGCATTTGAAATATTAATATAAACTGCTCCTCGTATTCATTAATTGCTCAGCAACTGGAAGGTGTTGATGTCTGATTTTCTGGTTCAGAGTTCTGCTGCTTCATATCCTGAGTCGCAAAGGTTGCATTGTTTGCTTCAAAGCCAAGGATCTGCTGCGGACTGTACTTCACTACTGCACAGACAGCGTTAGCTTGAAGCAAGGTATAATCAATCATTATGTAACCTCATTAATTACTTATATTGCATTAATCTAAGCACCGGCTTTAGAGCTAACTGGAGAGCTTTCTCGGATAGGAGGAACTAAGACAAGAAGAATCATCTGCTGATGCCCAGATGGATAGATAAGATGTTGGCATAAAGTGAAGTACTGCGAAAAGTGTGAATTCTCCCTGACCCCATTTCATGATTTTTCAGTTCAGGCTAAGAGCTGGAGCAAATCACGAGCATTCCTTGCGTCATAATACTTTGGTAAGGTTTAAACATACCATCCAGAACTCAGTCCGTATCCTCTCCCACACCAGGCTTCACTAGCCTATCAATCCCATCCTCATTCGCTCAGGTCTACTGTTGGAACTGTCACTTTCTCTGCAACATTATCTGCAACACTGAATTCCAACAGTTGAAATGTATTTATGCACAAGAAAGGATGATCAAGCATTCTGCATGCATTACAAAAAGATTAACATAATCTTCATTTGTTCTGCATAGATACTGTAAGTTTTCTCACTGACCCCTCTTCTGCTCTCACCCTCCTCCACAACACCCTCTCCTCCACACTTGACACTCTTGCCCCCATCACCCCCTGTACTGTCTCCTACTCTCGCTCCTCCCCCTGTTTCACCACCCACCTCCGCTCACTGAAGAGCCAGGTGTGGGCCGCTGAATGCACCTGGGTCAAATCTGGCCTAACAGTCCACTGACAAATCTGGCTGGACCTCCTCAAAATCTACCGCTCCATTCTAGCTTTGGCCAAATCGTCCTTCTACTCCAGGATAATCCTGGAGGCGAAGAACAACCACATCCCGACTCCTCCGTCCCCCCCGCCACCCCGCGCAGGTCATCTCCTCCAACCTTCACTGCGAGGAGATGCTGGGTTTCCTTGAATCCCAAATCAAGGGAATTCGCTCCGTGGTCACTTACCCTCCAACATCCACCCACCCCCCACCCGTTCCCTCCCACACTCCGACTCCTACCCATCCTCCCCTACACACTTTCGTACCCGTTTCCCCACCCTCTGTCACTGAACTCATCCTATCCCTGAAACCCACCACCTGCTCCCTTGACCCCATCCCCACTCCACTCCTTATCTCCCAGCTCCACCTCCTTGCCCCACATATCACAGACATCGTCAACCTGTCCCTCTCCTCTGGCTCTGTTCCCATTCCCTTAAAAACTGCCACCATCACTCCCACCTTGAAAAAACCCTCCCTTGATGCGTCGCAGCTATCAAGCTACCGGCCCATCTCCAACCTCCCCTTCCTGTCCAAGGTCCTGGAACGAGTTGTCGCCTCCCAACTGCGCTCTTTCCTCTCCAACCATTCATTATTCGAACCCCTTCAGTCGGGTTTCCGTGCTGCCCATAGCACAGAAACTGCCCTGGTCAAGGTCACCAATGACATCCTGACCATCTGTGACCAGGGCTCCCTCTGCCTCCTCGTCCTCCTCGACCTATCGGCAGCATTCGATACGGTCGACCACGCTATCCTCCTCCACCGCTTGTCCTCCCACCTAAACCTTCAAGGCCCTGTCCTTGAGTGGTTTAGGTCGTACCTCTCCCACCGTCTTCACTTTGTCTCCACGAATGGTTTTTCCTCCGGCCCCCGCACTGTCTTGTGCGGTGTCCCTCAAGGCTCTGTCCTCGGTCCCCTCCTCTTCACCCTCTATATGCTCCCCCTTGGTGACATCATCCGCAGACATGGGGTTAACTTCCACATGTATGCGGATGACACCCAACTCTACCTTTCCTCCTCTACCCTCAACTCCACGACCACCGATGTCCTGACAGCCTGCCTGTCCGACATCGAGTCCTGGACGAGAGACAACTTTCTTCAGCTCAACGTGCGCAAAACCGAGGCCCTCCTGATTGGCTCACGTCAGCGCCTCCGCACCTCAGGCGCTGACACCATCAGCATCCAAGGCTGCACTCTCCACCTCTCAAAGCCAGTCAGGAACCTCGGCGTTTTGTTCGACCCTGAGCTGTCCTTTCTCCCTCATATCCGCACCACAACTGGCACCGCCTTCCATCACCTCCGGAATATCGCCAGACTACGTACGGTACTGCCTCACCCCTCACGCTGCTGAAACTCTGGTCCACGCCTTTATTACCTCAAGGCTGGACTATGGGAACTCTCTCCTCGCCGGCCTTCCCGCCACCTCCCTCCACAAGCTGCAGGTCATTCAGAACTCTGCAGCTCGTGTACTGTCCCGCACCAGGACCACATCACTCCCACCCTCGCTCGCCTCCACTGGCTCCCCATCCCCCAGAGGATCGAATTCAAGATCCTCATCCTCACCTACAAGGCCATTCACGGCCTTGCTCCCTCCTACCTCTCCGACCTACTATCCCCCTACCTACCTGCCCGTACCCTCCGTTCCTCTGGCTCCTGTCTGCTCCACATCCCCCGCCCCAACCGCCCTACCATCGGTGGTCGGGCCTTCAGCCTCTCAGCCCCGAGGCTCTGGAACTCTATTCCCAGTGCCTTCGCTTTGCCTCCTCCCTTTCCTCCTTCAAGGCCGATCTCAAGACCTTTCTTTTTGACCGTACCTTCAGCTCCTCTCTCAACTCTCTACCCCCTCCTCGCTCCCTCCCTTCCCTCCCCTCACCCTGACCATTTCCCCCAATGCTCGGGTCCTGACCCAACTGTACAGCGCCTTGGGACGTCCTCCCGACGTGAAAGGCGCTCTATAAATGGAATCTTGTTGTTGTTGTTGTTGTTGTTTTAAGGGGCTGAATAAAATTTCACCGAAAGGTCTTAGATACATGTATTTATTGTAGCCAGTGAATGGGAAATACTAGACCCAAGGATTGCAGCCTGGCTTCTGGACCCCAATGACACAGCTTCCTGCTTCGAGACTCTGATTCCTAAATACTGTGGGAGATCTTCATTATTGGAGACGACTGGTTCGACAGCTGATTCGTTTGGACACCCGAAGGTCAGTCTTCATGCTGCTGACTTTGTTTGGTAAACAGTTACAATTCTTATAAACTCTCATCTCATTTGTTTTTTCATTAACTCTAATGTTTAGCTATACACAGAAGAATGTGCACTTATTACTTTTTTCAGTTTTTCTTGAGTCACACTGCAGTTTAAAATACATTATTTTCGTGGTGTACAATCATTCATGATGCAGTGTGATCTTAAACAAAATCTTGTGCTCATTAAGGATGGATTTGTAAAGGGCAGGACATGCTTAACTAATTTAATCGACTGAGAAAATCACAGTGTGTATAGTTAAAGGCAATTTAGTTGATGTTTATATGGATTTTCAGAAGTCTCTTTTGATATAAGAACATTATGAGAAAGTTAAAGCACATGGCAGTAAAGGGAAATTTGTGGCATGGTTAATGGAATGATCTCAAGAGGGAAAGCAGAATGTAGGGTAAATAGCTGTTTCTTGGATAGGCTGAGCGTAGGCAGTTGTTTCACTACATCCAGGGAAATGTTCAGGCACCTCTATTGGTTTTCCTGCACAGCCGGCTATGTCAAAAACAATGATACCAAAATCGAGTCTTCTGCAGCACCAATCCACCGTCCAATATTAAAAGGAGTTCCATGTAGAGACTCACTAAAGTAAACTGAAGTTACAGATTGATGGGGAAATGATGGGCAAGTTTTCTTACTCCACATGCCTCTGTTTACCTAGCAGTAAGTAGGAACCTGGTTGTTAGTGGATTGGCGGATCGCTTTTCGGGAGTACTAATCCCTTTAAAAAATAAATTGGTTATTTCAATCCGCGACTGTTTGTGGGACACTGCTGTGCGCGATTGGCTGGCGGGTTTCACCCACAAAATATACAGTCAATTCACTTTACAATATATTCTGTGAAGCACTTTGATTCGTCTCGAAGATGTGATAAGGTGCTATATCAAATGCAAGGATTATTATTATTATTATTATCAGACAAAATAGAAACATTCAGCACATATGAACATTTCATTTAGAAAGGGGATAAAGAGAACCATTTCTAAATCTTTGTGTGCTATCAAATTAGATGTATTACCAAACTGTGAGGAAAGATACAGGAAACTACTGGCAGACAGACTCCTCAGTGGAGTGGGCAGATTGGTCGCAAAGCGGATTAATGTTGAGAAATGAAAAATAGTTCAGGTTGGAAAAAATAACAAGGAAATATACCCTAAATTGTATATCAACAATGTTGAGAAACAAGAGGGATCTAGGGCTGGTTGCAGATGTTGAAGTAATACAATTAATACACAGATCTTTCAAGGTGAGAGCGAAGGTTGAAAAGGCCATAAAAAAGCAATTGGATTGTGGGTTTTTTATATATAGCAGCATTGATACCAAAGCAAGAAAGTGATGTTTAAGATAGTCAGTGTCACATTGATTATGCTGTAATTGGCAATGATGGATCCAGTTCCTTTATAGAAAGGACATCAAAGCCCTGGAAAGGGCCCAGAATAGATTTGTAGAGTTAATACTAAGAATGAGGGGTTATAGTTATGAGGATTGGCTCCAAAAATTAGATTTTTCATTACAATAGAAAAAAGTGAAACTCAAGCTTGCCACTGGAATAGTTAAAGGTGGGGGTGTGTGGGGGGACTAAAATAAACTATTTAGGTTATTCATGCTATTTAGGTTATTAAAGTGGAGTCCTGTAGCTCAGTGGTTAGAGCACTCGCTTTGCAAGCGAGAGACCCGAGTTCAATTCCAGTCAGGGCGAAACCTTGGGCAAGTTTCCTTACTGCACACAGAGCCTAATAATAATCCCTCCAAAACCAAAAACAATAATAAATCGGTCATTTTCAATCTACGACTGTTTGTGGGACATTGCTGTGCGCAATTGGCTGCCGCGTTCGCCCACAAATATACAGTCAATTCACTTTACAGTATATTCTGTGAAGCGCTTTGGGACGTCCTCCCGACGTGAAAAGCGCTATATCAAATGCAAGGATTATTATTATTATTATTATTAAATCATGATATGCAAGTGGCTATTGAGACTGAAATCATAACATCACTTAAAAGGGAATTGAAGAGGAAGAATATAAGAAGTGTGGTGAAAAGGCGGGGATTAATAGTAGAATAACCAATGTTAGTACATGAGCAAGTACCAGTTAGGCTCAGTGAAAGGCCTCTTCCTATGCTGTAATTTCTATAGCATGCCCCAGGGATGTGTTAAACTTGGTTCACTAAACCTTAGCAGGGACCAGGGCCACACCATAGGGATTCCTGGCATCTTTTCAGACTTTGCCAACTTAATAATTAATACAATGAATCTGGTGTGCGAATATTGGAAAATTGACTCTGAGAAAAACTGAAGAAGCTAGATTATAAAAGAACTAGATTTTTTTTAAAAAAAGTTACTGACCTTATTGTAAGTTGATACTTTCTTCAAGCTTTCCTTCAGGTCTCATACTGCAACCAAGAAGATGGGGAAAGCCATCTGCACCAACGTCTTTCCCAAAGTAAGTGTACATAGTATAGATGTAGCGACTGTTAAATCAGACTTATGCACTCACACAGGATGACTCTGAATTTGCATATTGTGTCCTCAATCCAGTGTATCTGAAGCAACAATAGCAACAAAAATATACATTTATATTGGGCCATTCATGCCAGGGGGACATCACAAAGTGCCTCACACAACTGACCTGAAACCTCAGATGGAAGGGGAAGGGGGAAAAGTGATCAAAAATGCGGTTGAAAAGGTTTTAAGGCAGGCTTTAAAGGTGGAATACAGAAGAAGAGTATGTAAAATTAATAATTGGTTGGAACTCTTATCAGTTAACAACAACAACAAGATTACATTTGTATAGCTTCTTTCACGTCGGCAGGACGTCCCAAGGCGCTGGACAGAGTACAGTATTTCAGACCCGAGCTGGGATGGAGGGGTGAGGGGAGGGGAAGGGGGGTTGCCGATGGCATGGCCGAAGAGGAGGGTTTTGAGGCGAGACTTGAAGGAGGCTAAGGAGGGGGCGAGGCGGAGTGACTGGGGGATGGAATTCCAGAGGTTGGGGGCAGAGTGGCAGAAGGCTCTCCTGCCAATGGTGGGGCGGGTGGGTCGGGGGACATGGAGCAGGTCAGAGCCAGCAGAGTGGAGGGAACGGGCGTAGGGTGGAGCGAGGCCATGGAGGGCTTTGTAGGCGAGGACCAGGATCTTGAACTGGATCCTCTGAAGGATAGGGAGCCAGTGGAGTCGGGCGAGAGTGGGGGAGATGGGGTCACGGAGTTTGGTGCGGGAGAGGACACGGGCTGCAGAGTTCTGGATTATCTGCAGCTGTGGATGTTACGAAACAAACTTAAAAATAACAAATCAAAGTAAGAACAATTAATACTTTTGCTCTGTGAATTGATTATAAAGAGCGAGATGGATGTACGGTGGGCAGTGCAACAAGAGCAGCTGCACAATGGGCCAAATGGCCTTCTGTGCAAAAAGGGCTTTGGTTCTGTTGCGCCTCACTTATCCAGCAGGGGGCGACATAGTCCATAATCGCACAAGTAGAGCATTATGTTTTGCAAAGTATGGTTAGTTACTCAACAACAACAACAACAATTTGCACTTACACCATACCTTTCACGTAGGGAGAGCATTTTACAAAGATAGAATGGGAGTCTGAGCTGGGAGGGAGACCAGGTGGTAGCGGAGATGCAGTCAAAACCATTGGTCAAAGATAAAGCAGAGAAGCAAGAGGTCGAAGTAAAGGGCAGGGGATAAGGGGCTGGAAGCTCACCCACTGATGATGAAGTGGAGCACGGGGCGGACGCGAAACAAGTCAGAGTTGGAGAAGTCGAAAGAGTGGCAGAGAGTGGCCAAATTCTTTAAAACGATTTTCGTACAGTTCTTTCTGTTCTTTGCAGAAAAGGAAGCAATGTTGCCTTTGCTTAAATAAACATTTTATTCATTTGATTTTCAAATGTACTTAAGTTGCAGGATCTGTGCGCTGGTCTTCACAACCTTCACCACCTCATGATGAATCTTCGTGCCAGATTACAGGCAAGCTTTGCATCATTTAAATCTATCAGAGAACATCACTTATGTTTCGTATAACCATAGCAATAATTAATGAATAATTAATCAGAAAGAGCCGCATAATGGAGGTCGCATTAGAAAATTAATTAGTACATAAGTGTCATAAATACAACCTTCCCTTCGCTCATACAATAAAGGGAGCTGAAAACAGCACCTACAGTCTGATCATTATTGTTGTATTTGGTTAACTCTTGTACAGATATCATCTATGAGGTTTTATTACATTGATTTAATTATTAGCATGCTGGAATTGTTTGGAAGCAACACTGCTCAGCAGCAGCACATCTGGATGTAATAGTTCTTGTGTTCTATACTTATGCATAAACTACGTAACACTATGGGGATGATGCTCTGTGGCTGGTACATTCAGTGCACTTTGACAATGTACATGATTAGCTCAGTGGTTAGAGCACTCGCTTTGCAAGTGAGAGACCTGGGTTCAATTCCAGGCAGAGGGCGAAACCTTGGGCAAGTTTCCTTACTCCACACAGAGCCTAATAATAATCCCTCCAAAAAACAAAAACAATAATAAATTGGTGATTTTTAATCCACGACTGTTTGTGGGACACTGCTGTGCGCACTTGGCTGCCGCGTTTTGCCCACAAATATACGGTCAATTCACTTTACAGTCTATTCTGTGAAGCGCTTTGAGATGTCGAGAAGACGTGAAAAGCGCTATATCAAATGCCAGGATTATTATTATATTATTATATTTCCTATTTTAGCTGCGCTGAAACTCCAACTCATGGAACATCACCCTATTTGCTACAATCTGCTATTGTGCTAGATAAATGCAAGCTGTTATGATGTATAAGGTGTTAACACATGGAATATGATATTTTGTTTGGTGGTAATTCTCACATTGACTGATGATGTGGCCAAAAGCAGTGAATAGTTATTAATAGCCAGTTGAGGAAGGAGGTCACGCATAACTATTGACTATTTCTATCCACATATTTGGGTAACAATATGACACCTAGCACATGTGCATTTCCCCCCGCCCCACATCAATTTGTAATCATCAACCTTATATTTTTCTATTCTACAGAGCCAATCTCTGTGGAAATTATTCTGCACTATGGAGCTCCGACTGATCCCTGTTTTGGCAGGTAAGGAACTACAAATGTTAGTATCATATTCTCTGGTTATGGCAGAGATCTCTTCAAGTTCCTCAATCATGAAAAAAAAAGTGTCAAATGTGTGTTACATTTGTTCTTGTTACTTTTGTCTCCTGACACTTCAAATTTGAATAAGACTTGGTTCATATTTGTGTTTTTGTTTGCAGTGATGGAAAATTGCAGAATACATGTTAATAAAGATGGACTGAAGAGAACATCTAAACTTCTAGAGGTATATATTCTCACTGACTCATTTGATGCAGTCTGCAAACTAATATGCAATATTGTTAAACATGACTTGAAGCACTAATTGAGACATTTGGTATGAATACTATTGGGGTGTTTTGCTCTCTTATTATTCAATTATTTTTTAGCAAAAAAGAGCACATCATGATTTCCATCCATGATAATGGAAAGCCTAATTTCCTGCCCTCTCCTTTTCAAGCCCATCAGATTTTTTTAATAACAAATTTAGTGTGTCAGATATTTTTCTATTCTTTTCCCCATCAGCTCCTGATCTTCAAACCCCTTATGCTGGTTGCCCTCTGATACACTATCAAGTGACCATTGTTCATGGGTGAGACTTGGCAGTAAATGTTGGTAGGCAACAACAACAAATTATATTTGTATGGCATGTTTCATGTCAGAGGATGTCCCAAAGCACTAGGCCATTTGATTGTACAGGCCGTCATAACCGAGCCTAGCTCCAACATGCTCATGACTAGAAGAGGGTGCTGAAGAGGGATCCAGTTAATTAAACCCACTGTTTTACCCTCATAAACCCTGGGAGAGTTGGTGCAAATTTAGCTTCCCCAAGCAGGCCCAGCTGATACAAGCAAACTCAATGTGGACCACGATGTGAACCACTGCACCATCAGGGCTATCGCCTCAGATTCCCTATTAAAAGACTGCCTCAACAAATTATCTGACTGTAAGTGCAGAAATCAATCCTGCGACATATCCTTCATCAGCTGGGAAATTACAATTAGCCCGGTTACAAAGATTGCAAATTAGACCCCATTATTTTTGAAACTTTACATTTTTAATAATAATCATTACAATTGATACAGCAGCTAAGGCATCTAATTATCTCAAAGTGCTTCACAAATGTCAAGTATAGTAACTGTGTATTTGTAGATAAACAATGCAGCCAATTTGTGTGCAAGATCCCACAAACATGAAGTGAATGACTATTTACCTGGAGGATTTTTGATCTGAACAGCAGGAGAAAATCCCTTCTCTTTTTGAATAGTGCTTTGGACGTGTTCCTAATGTGAAAGATGCTATATAAATGCATATCTTGTTGAATAGTGTCATAGGATCTTTAATAGTTCTGAAGAGGAAGACAGGGTCTTGATTTAACGTCTCATCTGGAAAAACGCATCTCCGATAATGCAGTGCTTTCCCAGTATTGCACTCGAATATCAGCCTGGGTGATGTGAAGGTGCAGTTCGTTCCTAGCAGCTTTAATTAATTAGTGAATCAGTTTGAAGAATGAGCAGCATTTCAACGACTTACTGGCGAGACAAAGCAATGATTGTATTTATTATGTTGCAAACCTGCAGGTACGACAGAAGCAGCTAGAACAGGAAGCACATCGGGTTGCTGGCGAACAGTTCTGCTTGGCCAGCAGCAATCAACTACGACAGGTGACGTTTATATTTTTGTCAAAAGCTTTATTTGTATAACAATCAGAAAAAGACATTCACCTAACTCTGACTCTTATATCCAAATGATACTCAAGGACCTGTAGAATTATAGACATTTGCAGCACAGAAGGAGACTATTCGATCCATTGTCTCTGTGCTGTCTCTCTGAAAGAGTTCTTTGTTATAGATCCCAACCACCAGACCACTATTTATTATTTATTTCCACATCGTCAGCCCATTCGTTTGATTGAGTCATTAATTATCTGACACAATTCAGGTGGATTTTCAAAAATCAGAATAATGTGGTGGGCAGCTTTGGGCTGAACCATTATGACTGATCAGACAGATACAAATAATTATAAGTTCAACTTTAGTCATCTATTATATTATATTTGAGCCCTGCAGACGTTACTTGCACCTAACTCTTATTTTTATTAAGAATTTATTTGCACAAATGCGCAAATTTATAATCAAAACCTCCAGTTTTGACAGAAACTAATGTCAAGACAATAGAGTTGGAAATTGTGGTTTCGAAGGGGAAAATAGCACTGTGACTGACCTCTTGCACAAAAAATGCCTTCACCATGTATGTCACGCTGACACGGCAGAGACTGTCTTGGGTTGGACTATCCAAGGCCTCATGAAATGGTGTGAAGTACAGGGGTTTCCTGCAGGAGTTGCTCTTTACACCTGGTGGCACTTTTGCTTCGCGCCACGTTCTGCTACCATTTTCCTATTCCAGCGCTCTTTCAACCCCATTGTTGTCTTCTGATTTGCGGTAGATCCTGTTTGACAAACTGAGGTTGCACCTGCTTTGTGAGAAGAACCTTCCAAAAACAGACCTGCGGCAACACCAGTCAACATCGGAGGTGGTGGTGAGTCTGACTTCATATCAATGGTTCAACACACATGACTTCATGTTTCACCCTGATCTGCCCCACCACTTTATAGTATATATTTATTAAGTGCTCCAGGACAGTACCCCGTGTTGTTATATAACTTGTGTAGCATTTTGCAAGGATTATTCTTACTATTAGATTCTTTGTTCTCCTGAAAATTATTCCCTTGCAATATTACAATACAGTAGTATCATCACAAAGGATCTTATGTCGTCTTGCGAATGCCAGACTAAAATGTTAGAAATCCACTTCTACTGAGTCAAAACATTAACTTTGGATAGTCTAGGTTTGAAGAAGCGGGTCGATTGCTGAGTTATTTATTAAGGCCAAAGAGAATGTGGATTTCAGCCCTCCTCAATAGGTCAATGCTGGGAAAGCAATGTTAAAACAGAGAACTTAGAGCCTGATGTCAGGCCTAAAATTTAGAAAGTAAAAAGCACTCAACTCTGTGTCAAAACATGTCAGAACTAGGACTTCGAAAGAAACAAAAACCTCTGGAAAGCAGTTAGTAATTATTAAACATGTCTCATTTAGCCCCCGCAAATATCACATTTACCGTATTAATGTGATTGTAGTGTAATTTCTAGAACATAACTTGCAATCATGGTTAACAGGCCAAAGTCTAGTCATTCTGTTTGTTTTGTTTTAATATTAGTTTTTATGCTATTTTATCATCCTTAACATCCTGAGTTTTAATGTTATTTTGGTTTGTACTTTAGAAGAGATTTGCAGTTTCCAATGATTGACAGGCTGTTTGATCTGCCACTGTGGAGATAATTCTCTGGAAGAGCTCTAATGGTTTCGAATGGTTTAATTCATACATTAACACTTATATTGAAATACAAATCCACTGTAGTATCTCTTCCTGTCAATCTGCCTAGCTAGGTAGCAGAGTTTCACAGTGCTATTACAACATTTTGATTACATTTATCCAAAATACCTCATTTTCAAGGAACATTAATAGGACATTAACATCTAAAAAGGTGCCAAGAATAGCTTTCTCTCCAAGAAATCCCCTGCACCATCATGCAGAGTTATGAGAATTCGGGTCCAAGCCAAAGTCTCAGGACTCCTGGTGATGATGTACAAGAGATTGCCTGGAGAAAACGCAGAAACATCACATCATCGTTCCTGGTAGCCACTCAACGTAATGCCATGAGAGTGTTGTTTAGACATCATGGTCTCTTTAAACAAACTTGTGTTTACAATGTTCATTGGACATTAAAGGTCCCATGGCACTATTCAGAAGTGAAGAAAGTTTCTCCAGGTGTGCTCGCCAACAATTCCCCAAATAAATTGGGTCATTCACTTCATGGTTGTTTGTGGGACAGTACTGCAAAATTGTCTGTCCCCCACAAAACACACAGTCAATGCACTTTATAATATATATCCTGTGCAACACTTTGGGATGTCCTAATGTGAAAGACGCTATATTAACTGTAAGGATTATTATCATTATTAACTCCTTACCCCGACCTTCATATTAGATGTCCTCCCAATGTGAATAATAATAATAATTCTTGCATTTAAGATGGTATATCACAATGATGTGATATAGCACCTTATCACATCTTCGAGACATCTCAAAGCGCTTCACAGAATATATTGTGAAGTGGATTGACTGTATAATTTGTGGGCAAAACATAAAAGGTGCTATATAAAATGCATTGTTGTTATTCTCCAGCTAATGCAGTTACAGGACTTGCATCCACTGCCTAAAATCATCTTAGAGTACAGACAGGTAAGCAAACCCAGCATGAAATTGTGATGCAGTGATTGATTCGAATATAATTATCTTTGTCCATCAGCCCCAGTTCATTCACCTGGAAAAGAGCTAGAATGCCAGAGGGCCAAAAATTCCCATGGCCTTAGTCTTAAAACATAAAATTTTAAAAAAAATTGAGTCAGCCGGGAACTGATCACCGTGCTTAAGGCCACAGGTTTGAGTCCTCAATAGATGGATGGTAGGTAACAGGAACTCCCTGTGAGCTTCCGGTTGGCAACACAGCTCAGCATGAAATGTGTGAGAACATTGCCACCATCTTCCTGTGCTCATCGCAGACACAAAGACATCTTACAGCACGTGAAGCCATCCCCAGAGTGCTCAACAACAGATCATTGTAGGCCAGAGACCACCACACCCACATCCCCCACCCCCGCTGCTGCTTCCCACAAATCCAATATTTGCAAAATTGTAACATCCTACATCTTCCATTGTCTTGCAGTTGGGAAAATAAATAAATCATTTGATTTCTCTATTCCTTCTGCAATAGCATTTCTGGTTTGCTGACATGACTGAGCTGTGCTGTGAACGCATGTGGTGCACAGTATGCCACTTGGCTCAGTTGCTGGAAAGCAAGGAAACTTTCTGGGAATGTATGCCATGTGTGGGAAGCCAATCAGTCAAGACTCAATGCTTCAGAAAATTTGGAAAATTCTTATATTCAATCCTAAATTTGAAGTCTTGTCTTTTTAAGGTCTAGGAAAACTAGTTCCCAAATTCAGAACTATGAGAAATTGTGTATCACTAACATATATGTCCTGCTCATTATCACTTTGAACGGAGGAAGGGGAAGGCCACTACTCTGCAATGTTCCTAACCTCTTGAACTCACTCTCTGAATCCCGCTGCCTCAACCCACTCCATCTGGCTTTAAAAAGTTACATCTACAACTGTGTTGATGGTCAACGACTTCTTCCTTCTTTCCCCCCACCCTCTCCCTGCTTAGTGAATGGTACCGTTTCTTTAAAATATTTTGAGATGTTATCTTACATGAAAGGTGCTGTATAATGCAAATGGTTGTTGTGACTGAGGAGATTTTCAGGCCTGCACAACTAAGGTTTGAGTCTGATATGGAAACAGGTACAGAAGAGGGATGATTCTCCAAAGATGCGGTTTAACGTAGGCCATTTGGTAAATGTAAAATGAGCTTTGTAGCCTGACATCCTATTAATAAGTGTATAAATTCAGTCCAACAATTTATTAATGTTTCAGAAAGGTATAGAACAAAAATAATGTTGCATTGCAACTGGTTCCAGGTTTCTGTTTTCCTTTTGTAGATACATAAGATAAAGTCAACATACATAGATGGACTCCTCTCATGCACAAAAAAGGTGAGCTGGGGGGAGGAAGCGAAAATCTGGTTTGTTCCATGCAACAACTTTGACAATTATAATAGGGAAATCTCACTGGAGCCTGACATCGTCAATACTTCCGCATATAATGCTGAACAGAATTTCAGCTCTCAGGAATTAAACCACATGGCTTGATAGCCCTGATGACCTGTTCTTGTGCTGTAATGTTCTATGATGGAGTCCTGTAGCTCAGTGGTTAGAGCACTCGCTTTGCAAGTGAGAGACCCGAGTTCAATTCCAGGCAGAGGGCGAAACCTTGGGCAAGTTTCCTTACTCCACACGCCCAATAATAATCCCTCCAAAAAAACAAAACAATAATAAATTAGTCATTTTCAATCCATGACTGTTTGTGGGACATTGCTGTGCGCAATTGGCTGCCGCGTTCGCACACAAATATACAGTCAATTCACTTTACAGTGTGTTCTATGAAGTGCTTTGGGACGTCCTCCCGACGTGAAAAGCGCTATATCAAATGCAAGGATTATTATTATGATCTATGCGATGAAACTTTGGTGACAATATATCAGTGCTCCAATGTGCTACACCCAGAATGTCACACAGTACGTTTTGGATTCTCACCCATATTCCCTCTACACATACCAAGCAAAATTTATGATCCCACTACAGCCTACTGGGATAACATAGCGAGTGGAGGACAGGCACAGGAGAATGGGGCTGTACAAACACAAGATTTCTGCACTCGTGACGACAGGTTTCCGATAATCAGAAAGCAGTTTAATTTATGATATTAGCAAAACAGCTAATTGTGAATCACAAACACTGGTGAAAGCCAGTGAGGAAAGCACACACACACATATCCCAAAATAGTTTTGCATTTTATTATATGGTTAGTGTCTTGATTTCTTGACAGCGTTTCAGAGAAATATATCTACAGTGTTTTCATTGCAGAATTTTGTTTCATCTACATGGAATCAGACCGGCACAGTGAGCGGGAGACTTTCAGCCAAACATCCGGTAAGTGACATTCACACTGTGGCATTCTCTTTATGGGTGACGGTTCGCTACCAGCCATTACCAAGCAAGTAATAATAATAATCATCTTTGTATTTGGTACAGCCCCCATAATTTCAAACTGTCTCAAAGCTCTTCACAGGGAATTACTGTTGAGTGGTAGTGGCTGTTTATTTGTAGGCAGGTTTATCATAGAGGGATTTTTTTCATGTGATCGGTAAACATGCACAACTAATCCTTTTAAGGTAAATCATAAATGCTATGGTGAAGAACTGTGTGCTTTCTGGATGAAATGATGACAGTGCCCTGACATTTATTGTTGCCTGACCTCAGTATTTTATTTGGTGGAATTGACACTGACTACACATAACTATATATTGCCTGACAGAAGACAATATACTGGTATTTATTACTCCATAAAACTGAAGAAGATTTAGTGAAGCAATGATGATGAGCGCATATTTATTTACTGTCAATCAGAAATGAGTGCTGACGCAACCCAGATACAGTAAAATCTCATCATTATGAATTACAGTCCACCTGTGGTGCATGTCAGAGTCTGAAATCTTTCATAGTCTGAAGATCACACACAATTTTTAAATTCTTAAATAAGTCTATTCTTTAAAAATGAGTTATGGAAAACTGACGTTGAAATTATAACAATAATAATCCTTGCATTTTATTTAGCGCCTTACCATGTCGTTGAGACATCTCTATGCGCTTCACAGAATATATTGTAAAGTGGATTGACTGTATATTTTGTGGGCGAAATGCGGCAGCCAATTGCGCACAGCAGTATCCCACAAACAGTGGTGAATTGAGTGACCAATTTTTAAAAAAACAATTGAGGGATTATTACCCCTGGAAAGTGATCCGCCAATCGACTAACGGCCGTGCACTGTAGAGAGAGAGAGAAAAAACATATTATGACTGAATTTTAAGAATATTCCAAGCTTCTTCGCAACCTTACATTTAATGACATTGGTTGTAAGGTTAAAACCATGAGGTTTAGTGTATGCACAGTAAATCTTTGTCTGGCAAATGGGGTGCACATCGCTGATCAATAACAACATGCCCTCAGTCATAAAAAGATTGACCTATGCACGCTGGCTGAATTTTTTAAATTACAACTTTAAAAGTATTCATTCAAGTTTAGCTGCCAAAGAAGGTCTCAGGAGAGCAATCCTTTGTGCTGAGTCAGTTTGAAGTCAAGCTAACAGTCGCTGGAGGTCAATACGTCCTCCAGAATATTGCCTGACAAATGTAGTGTTGACCCTTGTAATGGTATTTATAACTAACCCATACAAGGCTAAATATTATTGCCAGAGCTGGTGTTGACCACATCCATGGATTGTTGCAAAAATGCGGTGTTTTACTACTGTCCTGGGTCAGAATATTCAATTCACTAATAAAATGGGGTTAATAATCCTTGCTTTTGATCCTGCACACAATTGTATCTGCTTCTGTGAGGAGCATTGCTGCTGGTACTGAGGTAGCTAGCTTGTAGCTGGCTCAGTATTTATTAAGCTTCAGTATTCGATCTCCCTACTTCTCCCCCCCCCACCTCGACCCCCAGCTCCGGTCTGTAACTCTGTCTGTCCAGTGCCTTGGGATGTCCTCCCAACATGAAAGGCGCTATGCAAATTTAATTTTGTTGTTGTTGTTATTTAGAGAGCCAAGCCATGTCTCATTACATTACTACACACATGCAAACACTTATGCAACTAAAAGCTCAAATAGCAAAATCCTGTTTAATAGCAGTACTATTGTTAAATATCCAAATAATCACATGTCTAGTGATAGTCTGTACAATTTTACGAATGTCCAAGAACATAAGAATTTCTAGGGTAGAAAAGGCCACTGCAATATGAATAAGATAAATAGAACTATAGAAATCTACCAGCAGAGTAGGAGACCATTTAATCCATTGTAATATTGTTGGTATTTGCTCCTCCAATGAAACCATTTGTCCGCATCCCAATTCCTCACTCTTTTCCTGTACCTGCAATACACTTCCTTTGCATGTACTTACTTAAGTGATTCCCTTCTAAATGCCTACCTGAATTGTACTCCAACCACCACCTCTGGCAAATCATTCCATGTTCTAATAATCCTGTGGAAGATAACACTCTTCTTTCAGCGCTTTGGGACGTCCTCCTGACGTGAAAGACGCTCAATAAATGGAATCTTGTTGTTGTTAATCTCTCCTTTCACGGACCCAGTTTTAATCTTATTTTGTTGCCCTCTTGTCCTTGAATCACCAACAGGCAGAAATAGTTTCTCACTATTTATGCACCGCCTCTCAAACCTTTTCATGATCTTTATTTCATATCAGAGAATAAGGTGCTGGATTACCACATGTTCAACCATTTATAAATACCACAGTGAGATTAAAATGATCTTTATTAATAATAATAATTAAAAATAAAAACATAAGTCGCTGGGAACACTTAGCAGGTCAGGCAGCATCTATGGAGTAGAGGAAAGTTAGTTAATGTTTCAGGTTGATGACCTTTCGTCAGAACTCACAGCTTGCATTAATATAGCCCCTTTCACATCAAGTGAAAGTCTTAAAACATTTCACAGAGACAGTTGAGAGCAATGGCAGGGAGGAGAGCAAAGTGAATTTAAGACATGTTCATAGATTCTATTAAGAGAGTTTTAAAATCAAAGAGCGAAGGCTTGGTCACCATTAGTAGGACAGAGAGTGAGAGGAGTGGAGGACATGAGCAGTAAAATATGCCTGGAGGAGATTGTGTACCTGAAGGAGAACATGAGAACATTTGAGGATGAAGGTCTGGGGTATTGGAACTTGGAAAGGATGAGAGCAATTAATGTGTGTAGCAGATTTTTGGAAGTACTGCGGAAAATCGTTTTCCAAATTAAGACAAAAATTACAACTTTTCTAAAATTTTATAGAATCTTAAAGGCTAAAACAGTGAAAAATCGTTTCCAGCAGATTTTAACAACTGCTTAAGTATTTGTGTATCAGTAATATTTATATTCTATACATCAGGCATTGGCGCATCCAATTCATTTTCAGGCACTGAGTTGTTGAGATATTGTGTTATGGGTGTGATGTAATTCAGCTTCACCTCAGTTTTTTTGTAAAGTGAGTGAGTAAATAACCTAACATGAGTACTGCTAGTGTATACTTCTGTTGTGAGGGGAAGGGCAAAGGCATATTGACTATTCTTAGTAACACACGGAGTGTCTTTGGTCCTAATCTTTCTCACTCAGACACAAGACTATATTGCAATTGAGAGTGAGTGGCATATTGAAAATAATTAACTCCACAGATTGCTGCACTCTGTGAAATTATATAAAATTACAGTATATCACAGAACAGTTTTAAGTTTGCCGATTAGAGTGGCCAGTAGAAATTAAATGGACCCATTTATCAGATTGTCCCTGCTAAGAAAAGCCCATTGGAACTGACAGGCTGAATGAATCGGTGCTTCAGAACATTTTGCTTTTTAAAGAAATATCTTCATTATGAATTGGTGTCAGCTGTACTTGGGTGGCTTAATGTCTTTTAACAAGAACAGGGGCCAGGGCCTGTGGGAATAAAGAAATAGGTGCCTGGTGATTGGGAGGTTAGGCAAAGCTCATTCTGACTACAAATTATAGACAAGTGCCTTTCTCGGGCATGGAGCACAACTGATAGGTCACAGGTGGTCTGAGATACAAATCAAAACGAGAGTGAAAAAAAGCTCACATCATAATTGAGGTGGTGAAGGTCACTATTTGTAAAAATGTCAGTATCCTGTAGTACTCTCTGAAGGCTTCCTGCGAGCTAGCAGACATGGCAGGGACTAAAGATAAGGGACTCCATACTATGGGGCAAAAAAGCATAATGCATGGTCACATCTGGGGCTCCTTAGAGCTCTATCCTCAGTCCGCTCCTATTCATCCTATTCTATACAAGTTAATAATAATTATTATACAAATTCCCCCTTGGTGACATCATCCTCAAGCATGGGCTCAATGTACACAGTAATGGAATAACTGTGTATTCGTAGGCAAACACGGGAGCACAATTGTACACACAATGTCCCACAAACAGTCATGAAAAAAATGAACAATTTTACTTGGGGATTGTTGACCATGACACTGGGAGAAACTCCCTTCTCTTTTCGAATAGCCCCACAAGGTCTTTCACCATCCACCTGAATCGGAAGACAGGACCTTGATTTAATGTCCCATCCAAAGTACGACACCTCTGACAAGGCAACCCCTCCACCCAGCACTGCATTTGAATACTAATTTAGGGTCTTGGACCTACAACCTCCTGACTCAGAGGTGAGGGTGCTCTGAACCAAACTGACATACAGCTATTTTTCAGAAGTATTGACAAAACAAATTGTTGGCAATGATTGTATCAACAACAACAACTTGCATTTATATAGCACCCCTCATGCAGGGTAGCGCCCCAGAGCGCTTGACAGTGCGGAGCACAGCGCCGAGCTGGGGGAAGGTGACCATAGGCATGGTCGAATAGGAAGGTCTTCAGGCCCGACCTGAACATGAGGAAGAAAGGGACAAGGTGAAGGGATAGAGGAAGAATGTTGCAGAGTTTCGGGTGGTAGTGGCTGAAACCGTGGCCACCAATGGTGAAATGGAGAGCTACTGTATGATTACAGAGGCATACAATTTGCACTTATATAACATCTTTCATGTCAGGCGGTTGTCCTGAAGAGCTTGACAATTCTGAGTGGGCACCAGCTGAGGGTGGGTCTGAGGATGGTGAAGAGGAAAAGATGACTGGAAGGAGGAGAGAAAATTGCAGCATTGGTGATAATTATCATATCGAAAACTGAAAAATTGAAAAACTGAAACTGTAGTTAATAGTTGTAGTTAATCCCCCAAATAAATTTGATCGTCTGTTTCATGACTATTTGTGTGACATTGCTGTGTGCAATTGTGCTGCTGCATTGGACTACAAATACACAGTTATTCCATTTCACAATAAAACCTGTGAAGTGCTTTGAGACGTCCTTCAG